TAAAAGTCTAAATCCGCTACATCGGTGTACTGCCTGATTCCGTTTTGAAGTCAGAAAGATTCCGATAAAACCTGGTCTTGGTAAATGGGGGTTTTTTATCATCGGATGGGTGGGTTGAGGGGTTTCTGTGTTACCTGGTGCGTATCAGGAATGTCGGGGTTTAATCGGTTGAATAAAATTGACACTACTGCCTTTATACATGGCAGACATCAAGGAAGTATCGGGTGTATCGTGGTAAATCGAAAGCGTCACCGATGCACTTCAGTACCCTGGCTACCACAACCATCAGCAACAATATCCGCCATCTTCTACCTGGTTTGTTTGTTTATGCCTTATGCCCATGCTCGGGGGGGGTCTTATTTGCTGCTTTTGGTGAATTTTGTGGCCCGGCATATGTACTACAGCGTATCCAGCGGTTTCGAGCGGTTTCGTTTGGACGGACACATTTCTTGAGCCGATTCCGTGTGGACGGAAGACTTTTTTGAAATCAACTTCGGTTCGAAATCGGTTTTGTCTCCGTGTGGACGGGCCTAAGGGTGCAGGACATCTCTAAGCGGTTGACCAATCACAAACAGAGCTGGCCAGCTAACCAATCAGAGCAGGTTGGGCTCTGGTTTCAGACAGAGGGTGAAAAGAGGTGCTGCAGCACAGGCAGTATGAGAAAAATAAAGAGCTTTTTGAACATTAAAGCACGGAGACATGTCCCAGGAGAGACACAAAATACATATATGGACCTAAACATGGGCAGAATATGTCCTCTTTAAATTCAAAGAGATACTTTATACTTCTACTCCACTAAATTACATTTATTTTATAACTCTTGTTGTTTTCTGTTTCCAAACAGGGCAACAAGTATAATAATTTCCATTGTTAACTTAAGTAAAAAGCCGTTATTCTTTCACAACTGCCACTAAGTATGCACAGCATGAAGCAGTTCAGATCAGGTTGCTTTACTTTTCTGTATGCAACAAACCCCCCTCTCAGATACACAGAGCCAGCATGGGTCTCAATTAGCTAATCTGAGCCAAAAACCCTCTTTAAAAATCCGAGAATAGCTCTGCAAAGCTCACACTGTGGCAGAGGAGACCTTTGACCTCACAGGTTAAGCCTGACAGGATGAATATAGACACAGCAGTGAAAATCGATGACAAGCAAACGTTGTAGTTGCATCTGTCAAAGCTCAACAGATGGATGTGATCCGTGCTGTAGTACTGGAAATACTGTGTAATCCTTGGGAAATATACCTAAAGTAATGTGACATTTGAGACAATACAGTGATAGTAGAAATAAAGGTCTTGGTTATTACTGTAGCATGAAGTGTTTTCTTACTGCAGGAAGATAGAAGGAAGATTAACTAATTGCAAGGTGGCTTTAATGAATAAATATGAAGGAATGTCTTCACCTTTATGAACAAATATAAAGGAATTTGTCCGCTTCGTAAACCATCTCTGGCTTTATTTGTATATAGCTGACACTAAAGGATGTTTTATGACCTGTTGCTGAGTTCTAAGCCTAGGCGGACACCATACTTGCACGTTTTAAAATATCTTAGGAGGATCCAAATAAATTGTTCTGTGTATGTTGTTCGAGATAACACATGTTAAGAGTGATACACATGTTTTGCTCATCAAGATGAAGGAAGGTTAACACATGTGCAAGGTGATTTTTACGGCAACATATGGAGGAATTACTCCACTGAGTGTATGTTTGATTTGATTTTAAATAGCGGGCACAAGAGGATGTTTTATGACCTGTTGCTGACTTCTGAGCCGAGGAGGACACCATACTTGCTAAGTTTTAAAAGATCTTAGGAGGATTAAACACGTGTTTCTGAGCATGTCATTATTTCTTTGGACAGCAGATCTTTAAGCTAACCAGTTGACCAACATAGCCGAGTTGTTGGAGATAAGAGATGCTAAGAGTGTTACAAATGTTTTGATTATTAGGATGAAGGAAGATGAACTCATCTGACTTTCATGACAACATGTGGAGCAATTTCTTATCTTGGGTTTATTTAGAGGATGTGTTGTGATCTGTTGCTGACTTCTGACACCATACTTGCAAGATTTGAAAAGATCTTAGAAGGATGAATCAATGTTTCCGTGCATTGGATTCCAGTCTTGTCATTTCTCTAGACAGCACCAGATTTCAAAGCTTTAAAATGTTTCGGTAATAAGGATTTTTCCTTACTGCAAAAAGAGAGAAGCAGGATTAACTATAATGTGCAAGGTGGCTTTTACAGAAGCATATGGAGGAATTTCAGTGCTGAGTATATTATCTTGGGTTTTATTTAGAGGATGTTTTACGACCTGTTGCTGACTTTGTGTCTGTCTCATACTTGCAAGTTTCAAAAGATCTTAGGAGGATTAAAACATGTGTTTCTGTGTATCTCATTATTTCTTTTGACAGCAGCAGGTACAAATGTAGGAACAGAGAAGGAGGATTAACTCATTGCACGGTGGCTTTACGACAACATATGGAGGTATTTCATTGTATTGTATGCAGCAGGCACTAGAAGATGTTTTATTACCTGTCTGTTGCTTTGACTTAGGAGGACACCATACTTGCATATTTTAAAAAGATCTAAGGAGGATACAAATATGTGTTTCTGTGCATTGGCTTCCTATCTCATTATTTCTTTGCACTGCCACAGTTTTGAAGTTGACATCAGCAGATTTTGAAGTTGACAGTGCTTACCAGTTGACCAGCATAGCCGCGTTGTTCTCCGCTATGAATGGCAGTTCCCCGCAGACACTCCAGAAAGCAAAGAGTAAAATCCACCACAGCCGCATTTTTTCACACCTTGCAGATATCCATCCACGTGGCCGGGAGTCCTCGGAGCGAAGGCAGCACAGGTGCTTCTATATTTAAGGACATGATCAAAGCCACCGCATTGCACATCCAAACTTTGTTCTCCACCAGAGTCCCCTCTCAACCGCCCTCTGACTCTGTCATCTGTGCACCTGTAATCACCGCTGTGGATCTACGTCCTCAATCAAGAGCCGGCCTGACAGGATGGGATGTCTGCCTGCTGCACACACACACACACACACACACACACACACACACACACACACACACACACACACACACACACACACACACACACACACACACACACACACACACACACACACACACAGAGGGAGAGAGGCAGGGCGAGGGAGATATACAGGATGCAGATTGTGACAGGGGATTAGTGGGAGAGAAAAATCGGATTTTGCCAGGAGAAAGCTGCCGTCATCTGTGGATTTTCTATCAGACTCGACAGGATTTTTGAGAATCCTTCAAATGCAATCTTCCGTTGATTAACAGGATATGATGATTCCCCCCCCCACACACACACGCACACAAACACACACACACATACACACAAACTAGTTTTTCATGCTTCGAGGAGTATTTATTGCCTGCAAGTTTAGTTGTGCAGCCCACCAACTGATAAGAGAAAATTAAAACACAGAAGAAATGACAGCACCAAAACATTCATGAAAATAAAGCGAGGGGAATCCCTCTCTAAAGTACGTCAAGAAATAGGTCAAAGGAGGTTCTGCTTTTTGTGGTTTTCCTCTCCTCTAGTGTGTTATATAGATTTGTGTACATGTAAATGGTCTGCAAAGGCTAACATCCCTGTGTTCCCTCCTGAGGGAGTTTCTCACCCACACACTCCCCCCCTAACTGAAACACCTCGGTTAAACTCCTTTATTTACTACCTGAACCTGCTTTAGGCTAAGGGGCGGGACATCTCTAAACGGTTGACCAATCACAACAGAGCTAACCAATCAGAGCAGACTGGGCTCTGGTTTCAGACAGAGGGTGAAAAGAGGTGCTGCAGAACAGGCAGTATGAGACAAATAAAGAGCTTTTTGAACATTAAAGCATGAAGACATGTCACAGTAGAGACACTAAATACTAACATGAAACCTTGATACTTTAATTGCATTTTTACTGCAGTTTAAGTGCTTTAACTACACTCTACTTTTTTTTACAGGTAATCATTTTATTTATAGTGAAACGTATCGATGAAATACTTTAAATTACTTATTTCTTTATAATTGTTTAATACCGCACAAAAGACATTTTTTGTGTTCTCACTTCTATCCATCGTTTGTGCAGCACTTTTTGTCTTGCAGTGACAAACGAGGCCACAGCGAGAAAATGTGACAGCTGCAGAAAACCAGGGTTTTAGGATAAAGCTGCTGATATTACTTTTTTTCTTATTGTCAATAAATCTTATGAAAAGATCAAAACCAAAAGTGTGTTAGTCCCTCTCTTAATACTTTCTATCCTTGTCATTTCCTAAATCCAACGCACTGTAGTTCCCAGCACATTGCTCGGACAGGCGTAGCGTGCATTTGTTCGGGACTATTTTGGGATTGGGATTAGCAGGACGGTGTGTGCGGGGTTGACTGAAAATAAACGGTGCTGTGTTCACTGTACTTAAGGGGAAAGATAATTACAGCTGGAGTCTATTAATAGCTCTCAGTCTGTATATTTTTTGCAAAGCTTTTCCTTTAGTTTAAATATGTTATTAATGCTAATACGCATGGTATTTTAATGTATTAATATTATTATTATTTCTTATTCATGATTATTACTATTATTCTTATTATAATTTTTTTTATTTTGTTTGTTTATTTATATATACTTAATTATTTAATTTATTTGTATATATTATTATTTTATATCCCCGCTGGATATATAAAGTATTATGATTCTGACTACTATATACCTTCTTCATTATCCAGAATAAGGATTATGTTTTTCCAAAACCAAAATGTTAAATTGCTTTATTTTACTTTTATATTTGAATTGCAAATTGTTCCTTCATTTATTTATTATTTTTTTAACACAATTTTACCTCCTGAAATTTAAATTATTCCGGTTCTGTTTACCATACACTTCCTTCGTTGTCAAAGTAGGGATTACATTACCCCAAAAAACTAAAATAATGACATTTTGAGTGTTTCCTCCTCTTTCTGTGCGGCTGTGTGCTTCAGGTCAGTACACGGTGATGATGGCTCACTTCTACCTGAAGAGGAAGATCGGATACTTCGTCATCCAGACCTACATGCCGTGCTTCATGACCGTCATCCTGTCCCAGGTTTCCTTCTGGCTCAACAGGGAGTCAGTGCCGGCGAGGACAGTGTTTGGTGAGCTTACACACACATCAGCGAGTAACATGAAATTATAAATAAACCATTTAAACAATCAATTAGTACAAAACATAAAACTGAGGTTATATTCTTAGAAACCTCTGTTTTTCATCAATATATTACAGGTCTCAGATAAGTACAAAACATGTCTCTGAAGTGTTTGGCTCCAAACACCAAACAGATCATTGCAGCATTACCCATAATCCCCTCTGTTTCAGCCCTGTTTCCAAAGTGCTGATTCTCGGTCTGTTACTTTAGATGAAAATAAGGAGCCCCTCCCCACGCCCCTCTGAGAGACATTTGGTTACAAAGAACACAATGGTGCTCTAGGAGGAGATTCAGGTGATAAGGTGTGGGGGGTTACCTTGGTTGCTGATTGGCTAATGGTTACACAAGCCAAACAATCGTTATGACATCATAAAGTGGCCAAAATCTGATCAGCTCATTTTCAGACAGGTTTTTATATAAATGGATCAGGAAAAAAAGAGAGAGAATCTTTGTCCCTGAAACTTTCAGAATCTCTTTACACAGAGGGGACACATGTTGATGTAGAAGAGACATGAAGAAGAGGGGACACATGTTGATGTAGAAGAGACATGAGAAAGTGGATTTTAATAGGTGACCATTATATGAAAGAACTTGCTGTTGCTCCTGCATGATTTGTCTATAAATAAATGCCCCCTCCTTTCACTACAACTAAATCCATGTGAATAAAAGTAGTAGTATTTCCGGTTAGTCATAATGACACAGTTTCCCCCCCCCCAGGTGTGACCACGGTGCTCACCATGACCACTCTGAGCATCAGCGCTCGAAACTCTCTTCCTAAAGTCGCCTACGCCACCGCCATGGACTGGTTCATCGCCGTGTGCTACGCCTTCGTGTTCTCCGCCCTCATCGAGTTTGCCACCGTGAACTACTTCACCAAAAGGAGCTGGGCCTGGGACGGGAAGAAAGCAATGGAGGCCCAACAGCCCAAGGTTTGTATGTTTTAATATTATAGTAGTTTCTAATATTCAATTACTTTATTTAGTTTTATTATTGCCGTTTATGGATATTTCTCAGTCTCAGTAAAGTCCCTTGGTTCTTAATAGATGCCGAGAATACCTAGAAATCAGGATAAACTTGCAAAGTAATTATTTATGTCTGTTGTTGAAAGTCACCACATTATTATCTAAGGAGATCTTCAACATTGGTCATTTCAAGAATTTGTAATTAATAGAGACAACAACCACAGACAAAAGCTTGTGTTACAGGGATTGCAGCTTTCAAACCTTACTGTGGGTTTAGTCAAAGATCGACTCCCTTTTCGATCTTTCATTCTCTCTTCTCTGATACTTCATGATCAGTAGTGTGGAAAGGGAAGAAAGGAGTTGTAATGAAGTCCATGTCACACATAAAGTAAGAGTTGAATCAGAAAATAAATAGAACAGGGATTTCAAACTCAATTTCATCTCGGGCCACATTAGCATCATGGTTGCACTCAAAGGCCCAGTTTTATATATAAGACTATATAAAAATACTTATATATAAAATAATGTATTATATTACATTATTNGTTGCTGATTGACTAATGGTTACACAAGCCAGAACATTGTTATGACACCATAAAGTGGCCAGAATCTGATCAGCTCATTTTCAGACAGGTTTTTNAGGAGTTGTAATGAAGTCCATGTCGCACATAAAGTAAGAGTTGAATCAGAAAATAAATAGAACAGGGATTTCAAACTCAATTTCATCTCGGGCCACATTAGCATCATGGTTGCACTCAAAGGCCCAGTTTTATATATAAGACTATATAAAAATACTTATATATAAAATAATGTATTATATTACATGATTGCCTCTGCATTGGATTATTATGGGATAGGGTAATAACTTCATAATTAACTACGTTTGAAAGCAGAAGTCTAGGGAAAATAATTGCAAGCCTCTTCAGTGAGAATGTCACAAAATGATTTAAAAAGAAAAGCAAAATTCTGGAGAAAAAAAAATCTAAAGAAAAAGGCAGATTCTGAGAAAAAAAGAATATTTTTTGAAGGAAAAAAGTCTAACTGAGAAAAAAAGTCAAATTTGAGATGCATTGTGGGACATGTAGTTTATGGGCAACGTGCTTCTTTAAAGCGGCATGTAACCATATAATAAACATATTATATAATCTTTGCAAGCTCTTGTGGGGCCACAGAAAATGAAGTCACGGGCCGGATTTGGCCCCCGGGCCTTGAGTTTGACACCCCTGAAGTAGAAGCTTATAAATGGTGGATCAATAGATTCAGCCAGTCCATTGCTGCCCGCATACATCGATCCCCACTTTCAACCCTCACTGGCCATCTTTGATTATTTTCCTTGTGTGTTATTAACCACCTGTTTTATTGTGTCTGTTGAATGTGCAGCACCAATCAATGCATGTATTTCTCCCCACAGAAGAAGGACCCTTTGGCTCTGTCTAAAAAGCCCAACAACTCCTGCTCGTCCGGCTTGAATTACACAACCAACCTCACAAAGGACTCGTCCATCTCCACTATTTCAAACAGCACTGCGGTACAACTCAAACCCGCTGAAACCAAGGCCCCTGACCCCAAAAAGACTTACAACAGTGTGAGCAAGATCGACAAGATGTCCAGAATAGTGTTCCCGGTGCTGTTTGGGACCTTTAACCTGGTGTACTGGGCAACGTATCTCAACAGGGAACCCGTGAGACAAGAGGAGGTTTAAACTCTGCAATCACCCATCCTCCTGACTCAATCAATGCCACTTAGTCCGATAGTGTTTTTTTAGCCCGTTGGAAATCATTGCATGTCAGGAAAATGCCTCGAGTTTGTACAAAATATATCCCTTTCCAATTTTTATTTATCTCATTTTAGGACTCCAGTCAATGAATGATTTTAGCATTTGGCATTTATATTTGTTCTCCTTGAGTCTACAGTGTATGATGGTACAGCAAAGCCAAATGCTATGCAAAACAACATTTGTATCATTACTCTAAAGCGGCTGTTGCCTTTGTGACTCTTACTTTGTATAAATGGGCCGTGGGGTCCAGATGTGCGAGGACATGGGACTTTGCTTCCTTGTTAAAAGCAGATGAATAGCCATGCTAAATGTGTTGCCTTCAGAGTGTGATAACTCATTACGAATGCACTGGAATCTCCTGCAGTTACTTTTACAGAAGCCAGATTAACGACTTTCATTAAATCCTGTGTTGGTACTTTGATTGCAATTTTGAATGGGCAGTTTTTTCATGAATATCATTTTCGAACAGGGACAGATTTCAGTTTCCTGTCACCATGTTGAGAACCCTGTATGTATGTTTGTAGTTTTAAGAAACATGTATATATTCCCTGCTTTTAGAAAAGTACCACGAAGCCAGTTAGCTTCTATGTTATGCATATACAGCAGCACAGTGTTACCCTAGTCTAGTGCTTCATTGACTGGATATTGAGAAATGAGCAGATTAGCTTAAGCTTTAGCATTTTTGGACCGAATATATACAATGCTTTTTTTAAAGATATCTTGGGTTTTTTGCATCAACTTGTTGTTTCTATAAGCTTTTATGATAACTTGCACATTTTCTTTATAAAAATGTAGATGCTTTGAGCAGGTTTTTGTTATATTTTAGAGTACCTGCTTCAGTTAATAGTGACCTTGGACTAAAGAGAAGAACGTCACAATGACCTGGTGATTACATTTTCACCATTATCCTTTAGATTCATGATGTCTTATTCCTTATCCATATCCAGGCAAAAACATGAGATCTAGTAATAATTCAAAGTTTTAATTTAATGAGTGTTTTAAAGGAAAAGTTTGACATTTTGGAAATGTGCTCATTCGCTTTTGAGTTAAAATGTTCCGATTGATACCACTCTCATGTCTGTGCGTTAAATATGAAACAAGAACCAGCAACTGGCTAGCTTAGCTTAGCAAAAAGGCTGTAAACAAGTTAGTCAGTTAAATACAGGGCCGCCCCTCCCTACAGGCAGATCACGCAGACTGCCTGGGGTCTCACCTCGCGGGAGGGGGCCTCATCTCACGGAGGGAGCCTCAACGGAGCCGCAAATGCGACGCAACTATGCGCTTATGTGGCGCAATTGTGTAGGCACGGCACAGTTTCGCCGCTGCTAGGCTCCACTAGCAACCCCCTCCCTCCCCGTCGGCGCTCGCGACACAGAGGGCCTCGTCATATAACTTTGCGTGGGGCCACAAGTTGGCCAGGGGCGGCCCTGGTTAAATGTGTAATTTTTCAGTCATTTGCTTCTTTGTCGAGGCATAAATGTGTCAGTGGAGTAAAAACGAAGCTAAAGCGCAACTGTTAGCTTAGCATAGTGCCATGTTTTTTTTATCAAGATGTAAAATGGGGTAAACAGCTACACTGGCTTGTACAAATGAAAGAAATCTGCTAAACAGAAGCTGTTTTAAAGCTCACTGATAAGCATGTCCTAAAATTAGCATTAGCTTGAATGTAGCAAAGGGTTAAGGCCAGAACTTTGTAAACATCAAACTATTTAAGTAACAATTGAGAGGTAAGACTTCAGTCAAAATTCTCGCCCTAAGCAACTAGAGAAGTGAGCCGGAGGAGATTTGACTTACTTTCTCTTTTTTTTAAGCAATTTGTAGTTGCCTTATTTCCCTCACTAGTTAATGAATGCTTTCTATTTTTCTTTAACTCGGATTTAAGGAACATTACTTTAAGTTACGGACATAGCCCTGCTAGTTGTTTCCTTCTGTTTTGAGTCTTGATGCTAAGCTAAACTATGCTAAGCTTGCCTTCTCCTTGTTCTAGCTTCATATTTAGCGACATCAGTGGTAACGATCTTGTTATCTTAGTCCAAGAAGAAAGGAAATAATGTGATTCAATGACATATCCTTCAAGTCCAGCTTTTTTACTTGATACTGCGACAGTGCATGCACAACACTCACTTCAGCAGAGAAAGTTTTGCAACCTTCACAGTTTTTAGTTTTACTGTTCGAGTATTTGAGAATTGAAAAATGAATGTGATCTTCTCATGTGACTTTATGCCTTCTGTGTGGCCGGCCTCTATTTAATACGTTTATGGAACACACCAGTTGTATTATATTATTACATTTAAATGAATTTAAGGTACAGGCTGTTCTTTAAATGCAAATATCTGAAGCAATAAATAATGCTCATAATTATTAATGATTTCTGTTTATGGTGATTGTCATCATTTGACTTTCATTTGGTTGATGTCATTTTATCCAGATTGAATCCTTTTGGCAATAGTCTTTTTCTATATATAGCTATACTCTGATTCCTTTTATCTCCGCCCCTCCCTCTTTGGAAGCACAGTGCCCTGCAGGTTTAATGTATTTACTCATTAATTTTGTAAAATACGTGTGCAGATGACCGGTGCAAGGGGCTGGGTCACAATGAATACTTTCTTTCTTTCTTAATTGTTATGCATTCCTGATTCCCAATAAAGCTTCACTGAATCCATTAATCTGATGTTATTAATAAACAATCTCACTGATAATGAAGTTGTGACATATAGAGGTGAAGGAATGAGTCCTTATTTTTATTTTTTCTCGTCTTCAAGTCAACGTTTTTTTAATGTGTTTTTGGTTGTTATCCTTAAATAAGGTCTGTGGTTAACACAAGCTAAGAGATTTTATCGTTTTGTTCTACGACATAAAATACGTCAGTATTGAATAAAAAAACAGCCGTTGCTAAAAAGTGTCTAAATGAGACGACTAAATGTCATCACGCCCAACATTAGCCGCATTTAGCTTAGCCGTGGTGACGTGAAGTCATGTGACCTTGCTGTAGTACCTTTAGCCTATACTTCAAAAATCATGAAGTGGTGTTAATATGTGGAGATGATCCTGCTGAACAAAACATGTAAGTGTCAAGCGACCTTGGGTCCCCTGAAAGGCGCTATACACATTTAAAGTGGACCTATCATGCTATATTTGAATAATATAGTGTAGGACCATACCTATATAAGGCATGTTTATACTTTTTATTTTTCAAAATACCAAACAGATCATGCATTTTAGCCATTCCTCATTTCGCTCAATGTAACACTGTCTTTGCATGGGCTGATTCTGTGAGAACAGCACCATCTACAGGCCTGGCATATGTACTACAGCGTCTCCAGCGCTTTCGAACGGCAATGTCCGTGGCTGTCTCCTCCTGATTGGTGGAGTTGGCCCAATAGCCGTAGCGCCACTTCTGTGACGTCATAGAAGTGTTCAAATCTGGATCAGTCTGTATCAGATCCGTTGCAGCCCCTTTTTAAGAGATTTGGGTATGGAGGAAAATAGAGAGGGTTGTGTTTTCTGACACTTGGTGAGTTCCCTGGAACACCGGGGACACATATTCATGTAGAAAAGACGTACAAAAGTGCATTTTGCATGATAGGTCACCTATTATTAAACGAGTTTCAGAAGAACATGATGGAAACTGTCCCTGTGTTTTTCGCAGAGGATTTTTTATGCCTGTATGTTCCAAAAATCACATTGGACATTTTGTGTATGCGCCCGCTTGCCGTCGGCTAGAACTTCCGAGTCAGCACAACATGTAGGTAATCGCTTGCTTTGCGACTAATGTACAAAACGATGTTTGTGGTTTTTCTTTCAGTTGGTTTACTTCTTTGTAAATTCAAAATAAATTAGCGCAGGTTGAACAGGCATGCTGATGTATACATTTTTTTTCCCCAGGGGACACATGACATACGTGCCTTGAATCTGTCCTTGATGGAACAACGGGCCTGCATGCTGACTGCTTCTCTTTGACTTATATGCAGTCCGGATCATGGGCCGCGCCGCCTCTTCATTGCTGAACTGGCTAAATCCGCGATCTGTGGGCGGTTCTCTTGTTTGGCGCTACACAAGATCTGACTAACCATGCACATCTGTGGTTTAGGAAAAAAAGTTTGCAATAACTGCCAAACAACGTCTTAAAGTAAGTCACCCAAGAAGCTCAGCTGAGACAGAAACGATCACGATCTGGTGTTTTCGCATCGCGGTTGAAAACCCGATGTAATAAGACTCGTACATCTTGTTCACAAATGTTTTTGTCTTAATGTTTATCTATTCAGACATAACGTCTAAATAAGGCCATGTGCTGTTTAATCATGTAGGGACTGCGAGCCTGAACGGGTCTGTCGAGGGCCGCATCTAACGCTCTCGCTTCTCGATTTTACATGCCAACTTAAAGGCCACCCTTCTCGCCAACTGATGGGCCACCTACTGTAGTTTCTTTGCTAATAAGTTATCCACCCCCCTCCCCTCTTTCTCTGCCCCCATAACACCCCCCCCTCCCTGTGGTGCACCTCACTTGCTCCACAACTGCGATGCAGAGAAAACACCGCGTGGGAAATTGTATGAGTCTCGATCGAGTGTGGATACACACACACACACGAGCTATATGGCGCACTGACGAACGCAACAAGACAGAGCCAGATCGGGAAAACAGTAAAAGGGGAAACGGGACTCAACAGCACCCCGACAACACCACGCGTACCTCTACACACACACACACACACACCACACACACACACACACCCGCACACACACACCATCTCTTCTATACCTATAGCTCAACTACTTATAAACCGCTTTAAATGTCATTATCGCCTATCAATCTCACACTCACGTTGCTACACGCGTTACCACAGCTGGCAGAAGAAGAGAAGGAACAACATTTTCAACCACACAAACTCACCAGTGGGCAGTTGAGGTTTCTCTCCGCTCTTCTCGTATAAGCAGGGCTCTCAAGCCACTGTTAAAAATGCTCTAGCAAAGACAACTGGACCACATTAAGGGCACTGACTAGCATACTTGAGCGATCCTGTTGCTGAAAATGTTATGCATTACTGATTCAATGTCAAAATAACCGCATTGCGGATTTATTCACACATATAGAGACAACCGCTAGGGGTGAATTTCATGGAGTTATTAACCCTCCTATTGTCCTTTGTTTCCCCCCCTTTACTTTTGGTTAACTATTACCATTAACAAAAAAACATTAATCATCCCAAATTTCATTTACACACCCTTTCAAACTGGTAAAATATTGTATCAGACTATCTGGTATACATGAAAAACTGCAGTAAATGATACAAAGAACAGACACTGAACACATGTATTGCGTGTGCCGTGGTGCCGGGTTGATTTCACATGGGGAGGATTGGGGCACATAAGGGGGACACACACATGTTCTAGAGTGTTTGTGTGTGTGTGAGAGAGGAGAAAGAGATATGGACCGAGAGCGTCCGGATGCGGCCAGTGTGTCCTCCTAAAGATGAATGTGTGTGTGTGTGTGGTGTGTGATGTGTGTGTGTGTGTGTGTGTGTGTGTGTGTGTGTGTGTGGTGTGTGGTGTGTGTGTGTGTGTGTGTGTGTGTGTGTGTGTGTGTGTGTGTGTGTGTGTGTTGTGTGTGTGTGTGTGTGTGTGTGCCCACCACCGCTATGTGTGTGTGTGTGTGTCGTGTGGTGAGTGGTGGGGGTGGTGTGTGGCGTGGTGCTCCGTGTGTGTTTTATCCTCCGATCCAGCATGGCTGTATCTAAATCATTTTCTTATTTATAGTGGTCATTGTATTGGACTCGGGAAAACCACCATGGGTGTTTACGAAGTTGAAAACTAAATCATCTCCAAAATTTCAATGAAGTGGTTTTCAGCAATTAATTACCAATGTTTCAAAATGTCTACTGTGAGAGGATATCATAAAGGGCCTTAAATAGGCAATCAAAATTTAAACAAAAAAGTTATTGATTGATGAAAACAGTAATCGGTCAGATTTGACCCGATAGACGGGTGCTGCAACTTGAGGCTACACTTCAAGGTCGCGATGGGGCGGGGGGGCCACATACAATATCTATACTATCTCCTAACACTCCTCCGTAAAAAAAAAAAAAAATAGGATGTGTGTACACTTAGAGAAGAGATGGACATAGCAAACAAGGGGAGCGGATTTCAGCCCCCATGCGGTGGAGTGAAATTTACGTTGCAGATGAGAAAACGATCACCATAGGAGAGTTCCGGTGAATTTTAGTGCTGCCGCATTCCGCGTTAGAGCGCCTTTCTCGTCCGGCCTACCTCACTCATATCCACCTCCCTCCTCCTCGCTCCTCACCACGTCTCGGGTCCAATCCAGTGCTGGTAATTTATGAACAAATTCCATTGTTTTCATCGAAAAGAATTTTCAGTATGATTGTCTTTGTGGCAGAGAAGCCCTCGCTGTTTATACCGGCAAAACATTTACCACTTGTGTCGCAAATGTGTTGTTGTAAGTAGATGCCACTGTCTCCCTTTCTCTTTCTGTAATGCGTCTCATATATATTTGTGTTATGAGATTGTATAGGGCCTCTTTATTGCGTTTATAAGTATGGGTGATGTGCTTGTGTGATAGATAGATGTCCATGATCGCTGTGTGCTTGTGCTCGCCTCGTGTGTGATGGTGTGTGTATGCATTTGAGGCA